TTCTAGTGACAGTTCCATTCTGGTTTTGTAAGATGTCAGAGAGGACAGCTATAGCGAGACTTCAGGTGAAACCTGATATTGGAATTTTAAGTCCTAGCATGCTCTGCCATTCAACACTTTAAACATAGACTCTCCCTGCCATATTATAGCATAGTGGTTATCAAACACAAGGTTAGTCTGTAGATCAATAGATGTATTTAATGGCTACCAAGGAAATTTATAATTTGCAAAATGTCTCTTTATAGCTATCCCTATTTCTTGGGATGGATGAATCAGTTCTTTTGTTCTCAGTGGCCAACTTCCTGACATGCAGAGGAACGAGCATGACCAACATAGATGGCAGCTTCGACAAGGTCCCACACCAGGAATTTCTCATGATAGATGAGCAGTTAAGGAGTGAAGGAAACCACATTTACTGCCAAATATAAGGACAGATAGAATATCCAGCTAATACTGCACATGATGAGAATATACCATCTGGTGCCTAGAACTTTATCCAAGAGCTAGGATAATAAGAAGTATCAGTAGCATTGCTGAGATAAGGAATGAGTGGACTATCCAGGATTTGATGTCAGCACTGAAGTGTTTGTAGATTACATGGGTTTTCTGGATCACATGGCATAGTTAGGTTAGAGAACCTTATAGGCTTCAAATCTGACCTACATATTAGATATCAGAGGAGCTGCTAAGAAACAGAGAGGCCAGAGAGAGGGATGGCTACAGGACAGAAATCTTAGTAAATGCTCTGTGACATGGTAACATGTCCCAGCCTGAGGATGTTTTTAAAAATTATTGGTTAGAATTTAGGTCATTATCTTAATGATACAATTAATATCTTTTTGGTATGAAGGGGGTATTTTGTCATAGCCCTTCTCTTTAATGATACATGATGGTCTTATGCAATATCTTTTCTTTGTTTATTTTAGATAACGTAAACTCAATTTTTCTTAGGCTTGCTAAAGGCTACCATATAGTACCCACTAAAAGTCAGATCCATTATTTCAGTGCAGAAGTTTCTGCCCATAAGTAATACACACACATACACACACACAGACACACAGGCACACACACACACACACAGACACACACAGACACACAGAAAGACACACACACACACAAACCTGGTTTAGCTTCCTCATTCTTTAAGACTAAAGTGTGTCACATCTGACCGTTCATCTTCCCTGTGTATAGTAGAGGACAGCAGACTGTTAAAGAGGTCACAGAGGTGGTAATGAAAGTTAGCCAACCAGCTGCTGTGTTGGCTGAGTGATGACATTGTCCTCCCTTTCACCCTGCTTTAATACACTCTCTTGCCTCTAGGTAGAGATTACACACCATCTTACCCCATTGCTGAGTTCTGTCTAGCTCAGAGTCTTGAGTTAGACATTTTGTTTAGGTTCTTTGTCTACCTAAGGCTTAAATCTGTAGCACTGCCGAGAGCTTGCAGTTCTTTTATTTTGCCCATTAGCTGAGAGATGCAGATGAGATATAGGATGAAGAGACAAATAAATGATGAAAATTCACACAGTTCCAGAGCTACTAAGTAGCACACCTTCTTCATATAGTGTCTCATCTAGTGGCCTACGCACCATTGTGAGTTAGGAACCATGATGTATTTTATAGGTAACAAAACAGAGACAGGGAACTTAATATCTCTCCCACAATCAAAAGAAATCCTTTTAATCCCTAGTTTTCCTTAGCAAAGAGAAACTTTCTATGGGAATGTGTTACATAATGAAGCTCTATTTGGATTTGTAAAAAATTGTCAAAATTAGATAAACAAGGATGTCAGATGTCAAAATACCACAGACTACTTTTAAAAGATATTCTATGTGCATGCTGTTTCCTTTGACAAGCAGGGAAGTCACATTTATGCTGTGCTTGTTTTCCTGAACAAGCACCTAGAACTAATTATTATTAGAAGAAATGTGGCTTTCACTCACACATTGATGTGATGGTGGAAAACATTTCTGAGTCATGCAAATTCAAATTGCAAAGAGATTTCAGTTTTACCACCCAGCCTTTTTTCTTTGTCATAGAATATTACCATAAATTAGCCGTGTTTGACTAATGAATGGCAAAGCCTAATCGTTCTAAGTCAGTTTTTGATTACCTGGAAAGTTGAGTTTACATAGGTCACTTTGGGTGAGATGAATATAGATATACAGATACAGATACAGATATAGACAGGGACAGAGACAGAGATAGATATAGATTAAAATATGGATATATATCATTTTCACCTCATCTCTGTGTTGTCATTTATCTGTCTATCTATCTATCTATCTATCTATCTATCTATCTATCTATAGTCTGTCATCTGTCTATTTTCAGTGAAAATTTGAGATAAAAATGATCTTATGACCATTGTCTCACTAGAGACAGTGAAGTGAACATAAACCCAACTTGCAGTTGTTTTCTATGTTCATTGAATAGTCTTGTAAAAGTTAGCACTGCTATTATAAATGTAAAGGGTGTGAGGATAATGGTTCTTGTTGTGCATCCATATAGTTGCTTGAGTGATAGCATAAGTATCAGAGGAGGAGGAGGAGAATAAGAATGAGAAGGAGGAGGAAGAACAAGGAGAAGGAAAAGGAGAAGGAGAAGAAGAAGAACAACAAGAGAAGGAGAAGAAGAAGAAAAAGGAAAAGGAGAAGGAGGAGGAGGAAGAGGAGGAGAAGGAGGAGGAGGAGGAGGAGGAGGAGGAGGAGGAGGAGGAGGAGAAGAAGAAGAAGAAGAAGAAGAAGAAGAAGAAGAAGAAGAAGAAAAGACCATTGAACTGACAAAGCTATGTGCAGCTGTATCCCCATATCATGTACCTATGCCCCACCTCCACAAATTCCATGTGCTAAAAAGACTAACTAGATGTTTAAATGAGAGAGATCTACAGTGAAGAAGGGGTCACAGAAAAGATCTGCAAGGTAATCTGCTAAATCTGCCCCACTCCAAAGTCAGAGGCCGTGCTTTAAAGACCCCTGTAAACACAGGAGAGGAGGTACCAAAGGAGAAGCAAAAGAGGAGAAGTGGATGCTGGGAGGGGTGATAATAGCCCTACAGAGATGGATGTGCCCAAATAGGTCAGACACACAGAGTGAAGGTCCTGGAGATGCTGAGGGAAATTGTCATCTTTGGTAGTCATGTACTTTTTGTGACTGTAGAGTTTGACATATAATATGATGAAGTTTTGGTTTAAAAGAATAGGAAGGAGCTAGGCATAGGAAGATGGGGTCACTGATAGGGTGCTTGAATAGCAATCATAAGACCCTGCACTTGGTCTCTAGTACCAGATAACAAATATAAAGAAAAAGAATGTCTGTATAAGGTCAATTCTGTAACTTGAAGCTTCAGATTAATTAGTGTCCTTTAAAAAAAATTTACAATTTTATTTGTGTGTGTACCCTTCTAATTTAATGAGAAATTTCTACAAAATATACAGAATTTTAACTGTAATCAGTGCTCAAATTTGGAAGAGTTTCACCATCAGTGAATGAAGTTTGGGGGGTGAAGTACAGGGCAAAGAAACCATTGCCCTTTTCAAATAATTCACAAGTGCTCTAATTATGTGTCAGCTTGAAGGTCACAATACCTTAACTTTCATATCTAACAAAAGGCCTTTTCAAGTAAGCCATTTCATGTACATTAATAAATTGAACAATGCCTCTTCATAGCTAAATAATGTATGTCTGTTATTTTGTCACGTGTAAGGGCAAACCAGGAGATGTTTCACCATTCAGATATTAAAGAAGAGGCCAGAAAGACTTAACAGCTATTCAAATTTCAACTCATAGTCTTAAAATAGTAGCCCAAAGATGGATGTTTCTTTGTTATCCCCTGAAAGTAAACTTACTTTGGATTTAAGCAGCAAGAGCTACAAGGTGTATATTATCTAATGGGCAACTGGCAAGTCTTTAAGAAACTATCTTATGGGGCAAAGCATTAATAGAGATAATGAAATATTTTTTATATATCAGAAAAATATATCATAGTTTACAGAGGTGGCTTAGAGAGTAAGATGTCTACCACCAAACCTGAAGATGGGAGACCCATCCCCTCACCCACATGGTAGAAAGAGAAAACAGACTTCCATATGTTATCTTCTGACTTACTCATGTATGTCACAGTGCTGGCTTTTTCTGCATCTATGTGCCTAGCCCTCCCCCAAACTAAAATTTTGCAAAGAAAAAATATTGATTTTCTTTATAAATTACCATGGTGTTAGGAATAAGAATTTTAGATACAGTGGGGTTCAAAGGAAGGGAAATGATTCCACACCCTTTCTCAAAGCTATGTAGTAAAGAATTTGTAAACACCAGGCTTAGGTAATGGCTCTTATGGTAATCATTTAAAAGAACAGTGGAAGATTGTATAAGTTTCAAAAGCAGTGGTATAAAATAGATTTAGGTGTCACTAATGCTTGAATTTAATTGGCTGTCAGAATGTCAGATATTGCTCATTAAATTACAGTAGAAAAGTAAAGAACAGGAAATACTATTTAATTATCTTGTGTTTGTCCAGCTTGGGGAACCCAGCACATTTGATGCTGAATAAAACATGAGTAAGATACAGCTATGCTTAATGCGACTTAAGTGTGCATAATAGACCTCTGGGAAATAATAAAACAATTACAATCTTAAAATAAACCACAGTCAAAGGAGATTCCAAGAACCTATTAGCATGCGATCCATAGATAAACTTTACCCAGTCCCCTAAGAATATCTTACTATGGGTTAGATGTTGATACTCAGAGACTGTGTAAATCTTACTGATCCGTTCATCAGCATTTCTTCTGTATGTTGAGTCCCTAAGCCTCCTTTGTTATTTATTTTCATAGTTTTCCTGAAGATTCTTGTGAAGTTGGTATCAATGTTATTTATAAAAATGCTGCCTGACATTGCATTTTTGGTAACTGTGTACATGCTATTCCTTGCCCACAAGAGCAAATATTTCTATATTTCTTGAGCGATCTGGGCTAATTTTCATTGTCTTGAATTGTATTTAAGGTGGCAAATCTTGCTTGTTCCATGTCAACGAATGAAGATGGGATTAAAATCGTCAGAATTGCAGCCAATCACCTGGAGACCCTGTGTCCACAGGTAGAGTATCTAAAGCAATTTCTCGTTCCTACACAGGTCTTCATACCTAATTGAGATATATTAGAATATTTGTTATAAATAAGGGTGCTGAATGGTTCTCAGATTGTGGCCTACTTACCACAGAGGTGGTTTTAGCTGTTTGTGATGGTTCTGTCAACTTGAATTAAACATCTTTCAGCTGCCTGAAGGTGTCTAAGAACCATTGAAAATGGGCACATTCAATCCTCATAATTAACCTTAAGATCTGACTCCTACTGCTAAATCCGTTTCACCTCTACTTAAGAAACAAGAAAAGGGAGGCTTAGTCTGTAAGATTTCCAAAGAAAGAAACAGTTCTACACCATAAATCCTAAAATATAAGATGAAGGGATATCATTTAGCGAAAGGCATTTATTTTACAGATGCGAAAATTTTATACTATAAAAAAATATTATACGGATGGTTATTTTAAACCAGAAGTTCTTTTTGTCAGCAAAACAAGAGGCTGAAAAACCTTTAATAAAATGCACAGAAAACCTCCGCGCAAGGTTTTACTATTACAAGACATGTAATATGTTTATTTTGATAAGGGTCGTTGCCTTACAGTTTTAAATGGTAATTCACGATGGAGGCAGTGACCTGTAATCTCAACACTCCCATGCCTGAGGGTCAGAAGTGTGAGGCCACTGGTCTGGGTTATAGAGAAAGACCATGACTGAGCAAAATCAAACCCATACCAACCCAACCAAGCAACCAAATGATATATGACTGGCCAAATATATACTCTTGGCAACTGTTTGGCAATTTCTTAACATCTGATGAACAGCATAATTTTAGGGAATTATTTTAGATCACTGGTTTCCTTGAAGTCCAGAATCAGAACACATGTCAGGGCACAGTTAAATACTAAGCACACTCTAAAAACTAGAAAATGAGGTGCCTATGGAGTTCTATATAGATCCCAAATAGTATGAGGAAAACACATTAATGCCTGATTTGTGTCACTGACAATTTTATTCCAGTGCTATTGAGGGAATAGTTAAGGTGTCTGTTTCTTTGGAATTAATGTCAATTAACAGAAGAAATCTGGATAGCCAGCCTGCAGCAATGATCTTCCAACTTATAATCACTTTTCTATGGAAGCTTCTGGGGAACACGATACGGCAGCAAGGTCTCTAAAGTTGTTGCGTTGAACCCATTGAACATCCACCAGCTGCCCACACGGTTCTCATCTCCACACTGTGGCCAACACTTGATGCCATTACTTTTTGGAGCCTCCTTTCAGTGTAAATACTACTAAGTATGTTATTGGATCAAACTGTCCATTTCCTGGTTATTGAGGAGAATATGCTTTCTCCACACGTTTGAATAGTTGACATTGTAATCTCGTTCCTTGTCTAAATCCTCTGCTCATTTTCAAGGGAGAAAGACTTTATTTTTATTTAGGTATGTATGTATGTATTTATTTATTTATTATTAATAATTTATTTATTTTTTCAAATCGTAATTCATTCACACAGGGGTTATAAACACAGAAAGGCAGGATGTGGGGAAGGGGATGACACTGGAGTGTGGGTGTACAGGGGGATTACAGATATTTTCAGAACAGGGTATTGGCTGGGTGAAGGTTCAGGGGACAGGTCACTATAAAATTAATGTCCTTTGGTATTTTCTTACATGACGACAATATGTTAAAGTCACAATCACCTCCTAATCAATTTCCACTCCAACTCCTCCTGGGCTCCTATATCCTGTTCCCACCTGTATCATTCATTATCTCTTCCTCTTTTTTCCCCTTCCTCTTCTTTCCTCTTGAATTTTATTACTCTTACAAGCATATGGATGGTGTAACTTTATCCTCTGGGCCATGAGCAATCTACCATGGACTATCACAGATGGAACCTGACTTTTCCTTCCTCAGTAGCAATCACACACCAAAAGTCTTCAGTTAGGAGTGGGAACTGGTGAGCCCTACCCCACCCATATTGGGATATTACTGAATCAATCTTGTGAAAGCCTTATGCAGGCAATCTCAGCTGCAGTGACTTCCTGCATGTACTGGTCCTTTAATTCCAGAAGACATGGTTTTCCAGAAGTCCTCTCTATATGCTGGCTCTTAGAATCTTTGTACTGCTGCTTTTCCAATGTTCTTTGAGTCTTTGGTGAGATATGTCCTCATTTTCACAAATTGTGCCACCATCTACTGCTTGAGAGGTAAAGTATGTAATGAGTTATGGTAATAATCTTCTTAGAGGGGAACCTTAATAGTATATTTCTTTCTTTGTTGATTTTTAAAATTAGAACATATCTACTACTGTACATGGTGTTGCATCTCACAAGCAGTGTTTTCATATAAGTATGTTTTATACTTTGACCTAGTTACCCTGGGTTTTCTATGTTCTTTTTAAATTTCTTTCCCTGTTTCCCCAGACTGTTTCACTTCTACTTTTTGATTTATATGCGTTCATTATTTTATGTCTCAACAAAAAATTTAGAGTCCCCAAATGAAACAAAATATGTAATGTTTGTCCTTCTTAGTCTGATTTAACACTCTTAATATGACACTCTCCAGTTGAATTCACTCTGTACAAATGACATAGTTTCATTCTTTATATCTCAGTAAAATTCTGTTGTGAATTTTTATACATACATATAAGTAGCACACTTCTACATAAACATGTATGTATATACAAATAAAATGGTTATTTTCATTTTCTTTACTTAATTATATAAATTTCAGAAACAACTCACAAATGTCAAGGAAATCATGTGACAATTTATAAATTAAATGTTAAAATATGTGAGATTTGTTTTGCAGTAAAATTAAGGTATCAAATCTTTGTATCAATCAGCGTGTTTTATATATAAAATATAAATATATAATGTATATAGTGTTATATATGTTAAATAACACACATATGTTTATTTACATACATTCTTTTAATCATGTTTCTATAGCATTTCTAGATTATTTACATTTGTATCATTTATTATAAAATTCCACAATTAAAAACAATCTTCTACATGCTGATGGCCTCAAAGATTCATTTTGGCCAATAAGCCTTTTCTTAAAGTGTAGAGTTACATAACTTGAGTTTCTGTAGGGTTCTCTACTTTGTTTAAACTGGGATTCCATATCCCTCCATGCCTACTTTATATATTTTTTCATATTTTCTTAGTTCAATTGATGATATATCCACTTGTTTGCTTCAGTGAAGAGCTTGTGTGTAGGGGGAAATATTTCCTTCTTCAGCAGATATTCACTGAACAACTAATATGTAGCAATCCCTGAGTATATATTTGTAGAAAAAAGTCTAATATTTTATTCCCTATACTCAGTGAAAAGGTAACATTTAAGGCTGTTCATATATTTATTCAGCATATAAGGGAATGGTAGGTTACTAGCATGACAGCCATTTCATATTTATAAAGATTAGAGAGACTTTTGTTACCAAGTTATGAAAGTTTGTTTAATATATGGTGCCTTACTGTTTGATAAGTTAAAGACATTCTTTATTACTGTGGTTATATCTGACTAATGTAAATATGCTAATGAAATGCTGATTATAGTTGATATGTTAACCACTGATAAGGCATTGGCTAATTAGCAGCAGTCACCTATTTACCCCATGTCAGTGACTCATTAGAAATTTTAGTAAAATTATGGATTTATCTTAGACAAATTCATACTGTGTAGGGCTCATAGGACTGGAGCTTGCTGTGCAAGCCCTTCTAGTCCTGAAGTTGCAACGATCCTCCTGCTTCTGCTTTTCAGATTGGGATTACAGCTATGTGGCACCATGCCTAGCCTGGATTGGTTAGCTTAAAATTTTAAATTAAAAATAAGTGAACAAAGGAATTGTATTCATGGAACCTGGTATTTTCCAAAATATTTTACATTCCAGATTTTAATTAAAATTATTTATAAATTACAATAGGTATAAATATTAAACCACAAGTACCAGATTCTATAAATCCAATTGAAAAGGGTTGGTACTGAATAGACAGGTGTTGGAACACATTCCAAGAATGGAGTCATGTGAGAATTCTGAGCACTCGTAAGAAAGTTTCAAGAAAACAAGACAAGGGTCTTGTGACCTCAGTTTCTTTCAAACACTGAATTGTTCTTGAAATATGTTTTGATATTCCTCCCAAGTGTAGTGGATAGGAATTATTTTACTTCAGCTGTTGTTATTCATATGCCTCTACAAAAAAAAATCTTTTTGTCACATGTGGCTAGTCCTTGAGATTGAAAAACTTACTCATGAGATTCTTCTTAACCCTCAGTGTACTAATTGTCTAATGCTCAGAATAAAGTTGGCTATTGCATGAGACTTTAGTCCACTTCATTTTTTGTCTGTCTCTCCCAGGTTCATACTGCAAACTAGAGCAGGAAACAGACAGGAACTAGGGAAATCTAATTCAAAAAAGTACTTAAATAATAGTAATAATGAATTCACAATGAATTGACAGCTTGTGAGAAAAGGACCCCCAACCTTCTCTGCACTTTGAATTGATTTTTACAAGTATTTTGTTATTTTATACACATTTGTATTTTGACAACATATGTATCTGTACATCACACACATGCTTGAGACCAAAAGAAAATGTTGGAATAAGACCTGGAACTAGAGCTACAGATGGCTATAAACTGCCATGTGGGTACTTGGAATAGAACCTGGGTCTCCTAGAATAGCAATAATTTCTCTTTAACCTCTGAGTCATTTCTGATTCTTAAAACTAGATATTATACATTTCATTAATACATTTGCATCCTTCAATTTTGGGTTAGTATTCCTAGAGTATAGTCTAATTTGTGTGTGTGTGTGTGTGTGTTTGTGTGTAGTATTATAACTTTGCCAGTATGTGTTAGAATGCAGAATTCACATATCTTTTTGACATTAACACAACGTTCAGCTATTTGTGAAAAATATATATGTGTTTTGTAAACACACATGATAAACCTATATGTTCACAAAACATATGAGTAAACTTTAAGACAAAATATTCCATAATGGCTA